AACAACAACAACAACAACAACACCTACATAAACCTCTGAAGCTTTCACTTAAAGGCGCCCTTCACCCTACCCCTGCAAAAATCTCCACCATGTGTTATATCCGGAAAGCTTTGTAACCTCGCTCGCGCGCAATTACCCGGTTTGTTTTGTTTACGTATAAGAGAAGAATAGAAACATAAAAATATTACTAGACGTTTGGACCCTCATGGTTAGTGCGAGTTTAACAAAGAAAATACAGTGAGCAGCGAGGAGTTCAAGCAAAATGCTGGCACATTTTGCTAGGGGCAGCTCAGAAGTCGATTGGTGCGAATCGAATTATGCTCATGTAGCTTTTATCGCCGAGTTTTACAACACGGTACAGCGAGCCGGCGCTTTTGTTTTTGCTTTTAATTAAGTGCTCGAGTCTTGCTTATCATTTTTCAATGTTCTAGAGGAACAGTATTAATACAGATGTGTTTTTAACTCAGGTCAGCAACGCCATCTTCCTTGTTCTACCGCCTTTCTTCATGTAAGTACCATGTTTTATTACCTCTTATATCTTCAGCTTTAATTATTCTGGGTTTACTTTTGCGCTCCAGTAACGTTTCAACTTCCTCTTTTTATTTTTTATTTTTTCCTCTTCAACGCGTGCAGATGTTACGCTATGACATGTAAGTTCCGGGCGTGGTGTAATATATTACACCAGATTAAAATTATTCCCGAGGATAAGGTATATACTCAAAATAAGAAACACAAACAAGATTATTCTGACATGGAACGATAAAGATTTCTTCGTTGTAGTCGATTTATAACTGAGTTGATTTCGCTCTCGAAGACAAGATATTTACTTAACTTATAATTCTGGGAATAGATTTTAATCTGACAAGTTTGCTTTGTTGTAACTGACTTCTGAGTAAATATCACAGAAATACGACACACGTTCACGACACGCTGAATTTATACTGGCATTTCTGAACGGCTTTCAAATCAAACGAGAACAAAAAATATACATATGAAAGGCGTTTACTGCAGGTACTGGTAAAGTACCTGTTCATGAGCATTTGCCAATTTTGCCTATTTGCATATCGTCTCCTTGGCAGCACTGAGTTCTTATAAAGTATATAAAAATAATTTGCTTGGCAAATAGAAATCAGATTTGCTGTCAACCCGTTACTGATACATGTGAAGAATGAAACAAAGCTTTCCTTGGAACGATGCACTCGTGCGAGTAGAGCGGTAACCTGTAAACGGCTGGCGTAAACGGCTTGAGCTGTGCACTGACTCATGCATATCACAGGAACCGCAGGCGGTCTGTATGGTGTTTTAGAAAAGTTGTATTTATTGCATAAAAATTGCTTCACTGGTGTATAGTCTATAGCCAGCATGACATGTGACGGGCGTTTCTCACTGGTCGCGGTGTAACATACCGTCTGAAAATTACTTCCCCGTTTCGCTGTAACCGCATTAGGTTTTTTACGTTGTTTGAATTTAATGAGCTATCGCAAGCGCAAAACACTTATCGCAAAATTACTCGATTCATATTTTGTTTTGTCTTCAGCGTATAAAAGTGCTAACATTATTGACCACCCGTTGGGGTGTGGACGG